TACATTGTGCCGTACTACAATTGAAGCAATGTTCACAACAGAACTATTTTTCTACTTATATTTTTTGAAAAGATTTTTAGAGCCAATGTAAAATGAATATTTACCTTGAAATCTTATTTTCATCAATTCAAGTSAGCTTTCTTTAGCTTCTTTGTGGACCATTTGAGAGCAAAACGGCGTTTTTCAGTCGTTTTAAAGAGATTTTTTGTATTCAGTACATTCAGAATAACAGACAAAGGCTAATTTAGTACATTTTGAGTCGTTGTTTTGAAAGAATACTCGTTGTAACACAGTGGGAAGTCCMTGTGAGATCACAACCTGCTCCAAATCAATCAAATATAGCCCGCAGATAATCTATCTTTAATCACTAGAATACACACTGGCCCAATAAACCCTTCCCTTTGGCTGTATTWTAATAGCTAGTCCAATAAGAGAAACGATCTTTTATGTCATTTAATGATAACGAAGATTTCTCCATTATYTTGTCACAGCTTGGTTATCAAAAATAATTTCTCTCAGAAAGTGATTTTGTCGCTTCATTGATTTTGTGGGCGTTTTCGGTCATGATTTCTTTCATTCCGTAATATTTCGTGCGATTTCGAGTCCCAAAATCCTCAAAAATTATTTATCAACTTTATAAATGATCTACAAAACGTGTAAAGTCATTTATATCGAGCTTCTAACTGTCATTGACAGGCCTTTCGCTTCCATCCAATTCTCACTAACGAGTTGTTTGCCAAGAGGCATCTGTTTCTCAAATTTTTATGCGCAAAACCAAAGTCCAAGCCTCAAAAACCTACACTTGTATTTTCTTCTCTTCCCAAAGCTTTTATTTTGAATTTTATGCGTTCGTCGTTAGGATTACGTTACTTCAGAGGCGGAGAAGGGCTTAGAGTATAAATCCCTCAGTTTAGAAACTGAACTGAAACTGATATCCCACCCTTTTTGTGGATTTTGTTGCGAAACTATGTGCTTTATAATCATAGTAATAAACGTTTTGATTTGTACTCTCTAAGAAAGATTAAAAAACTTCCATAATATAGAGAAAAACAGGAAAAAATAAAGGAAATTTGTTACCTTTACCAATAACGACGAAGCAAACCATTCAGCTTATTTTGACCAATTCAGTCTGGACTATTTTGTGTATATTCTTAGATACTGTTTTAGTATTTTCTACGTTCTTTTAACCTGCAGATTTTACATTAAACGCACAAAAAAACTTGTCATTATTGCGTCCGAGAGTTGGTCGACTGATCGTGAATTTTAAATTTCTCGTCAGCTCATAAAGTACAATGTTTCCAAGCTCCAATCATAACTTGACAATATTCTATGTCAAAATGTAAATTCTTCGAATTACTAGAATACTTGGCTTTTCCGTTTTCAGTCTTTTTTTGACGTTTTGTTTGGATTTTGTGATGTTGTTTTGCATTCAAGGGGAGTAAACAAAAATATATTAGAATAATGACGCGCGAGAGAGATTTACTCTGTATAACAGAACAGTTCAGTTTTGCACACTTTTTAATTTGCTTTTATCTTTAATGATACTGAATAAACAGTTTATAAAAAATTGCATGACAGTTTGGACTACGAATTAAAATTTCTTGGCTTTTGATCTCAAAAACTCTAGACAGACTTGTTAGACGCGCGCGCGCGATTACTGTGTGCGACTATAGACAAAAGTTGTAC